TGATATTTGACTCTTCCATTTCTCTGTCTCTGTGTCAACTTTCCACTTGCAGATCTACGCTAGAGTTGCGAGGGTTTGTAAAAGTGATCGTGGCGGTGCCCGTCCAGCCCACGAACGTTGGACGTCATTTGTGAAAGCACGACTGAACTGTTCCATTCCGGCAAATACGCCATTTTACTTCAACGAATTACGTATGACTTTCTTGTCAATCTCATTTCATTTTATTAGCAACTCCTCAATCTGTGCTTATTTGAATGGCAGGGCAGGGACACTTCCGTCTTTCTCTCTCGGGAAATTCCGCTTCATAGACTATTTGAAAGGTGAGAGACTGTTTGTGCTTTTGAAAATTTTGAGAAAATTTCTGAGATATTCTTCAGTTAGTGTTGTCAGATTTCATTTTCTTCACTTGTCATCTGTGAAAAGTTTGATGACCGATTTTCCGTCCCTATAATAGAGAGATTGTCTTTGAAAACGAGATTTTTTCATTTTCACTCAAATTAATAATCTTTTTCAAATATTATCAGTACTGATTAATTAGTAGGTTGATTGTCTAAATATAAAACAGTAAAGTATTTACTCACAAAATGGAAAGTTTTTGCAAAAAGGTAAATTCATGTCTCACAAACGAGTTCCACGTAAAATTATAGGAAGCATTCTAATTTGACTGCAATATTGACCGATTGCAGAAGCGGTAACCGAACCGGTAACAACAACCGACGGTTCCTCTTACGTATACGCTGTTTTTTCAACAGCCGAAAGCACCGTCCGAATGTCAGCTGTATGTGCATACCGAATGGAGACTATCAAGCGGGTTTTTGACTATGGACATTTTAAAATTCAAAAAACCGCTCAAAGCTTTTGGGTACCTTATAGACCGCACGAAAATATACCTATGCCAAGACCTGGTTCGGTAAGTCACGTTATTAAATATTCTACGCAAAGGACAGCAAGTGTGATCTCTCATTGAGAGCAGGCAGTTGAGAATGCGGTTATACCATCCGCGACCATTGACACTCATGCATCATGCATGCACTGCAACCGCCCGTAGTTTCAGTGCGTTGCGGATTCCTCAAAGTTGTCGGAAAATATTGTTTCGTTCATCGCACGCAACCCACTAATGCATGAAGTGGTCCCTGCAGTACGTTCAAGACCGATCCTTGTCCAAGGACCCGAACGTGCGTCACTCACGCAAATCGCCGTTTTACCAAAAGTTTGTTTTGATAAAGATTTTCCTTTAGCGGTGAGAGCCGCACCCCTGGAAAGAGTCAAAATCAAAGAACTGAAGAAATCTGTTTGCTGCTACATCTCATTGTAGTTTCTCAGATTCTTCTAAATGAATGTTTATTTTTTGACAAAACTCAATTCCTGTCAGCAAAGCAAAAATTTAATTACTCTTGTATTATTGGTAGAGGAAAATTATACTGTGAATAGACTTCGGGAATGTTCAATTAAATTTTAATTAATGGCACTCTGACAGTCATTCGTGACAAATATCTCATCTAAACACTTTTATAGGTTCACTCAGTTAAGAAAGGGATAACATATAACGCCTTGTACATTGGTACCTCGGATGGACGTGTCCTGAAGCTCTATGACCTTCGGGATGGTCCTACGACAGTTGTTCAATCAGTAAAAGTGTTCTCCAAAAATTTGCCAATTATTAACTTGATGGCCATCAACGACCAGGTAATTAACCGTGTTGTCAGCCAGAATTTCATTTTCGGAAATTTTGAATCAAGTCAATTTGATGACAGTTGTCGATCAATCATTTAATCAATCCAAAACGGACGACTTTTGATATAAGAAACATTTGCGTTTTAAGCAAATACCTCTTAATTTTATGTCTCTCATTTTTTAACATGAATTTTTTCCAGTTGATTGTGGTCAGTTCAGACGAAATAGCGGCAATTCCACTGGAATACTGTTCAGAACAACGAAACTGTGCAGGTTGCGTGCATTTGCAAGATGCACATTGTGCATGGGATTTAGATAGTGCGCGTTGTATTGGCCGAAACACATGGTCAGGGGAAAATTTCGTCCAAAATATAGTTCTGGGACAGTCGGAACAGTGTCCTGAAGGTGCTGTGGATCCCGACTACTATGCGATTGATGGTAAAATCTCTGAGCACACAAACATTCCCAGTCATTCACTCCCTCCCTCTCTCTCTCTCTCTCTCTCTCAAAAGTTGACATTCATCTTTTTTCCCTCATTCTTTTGGCAATGAAAATTTTGCTGTCGATGTGAAATAAGTGATTTTAGAGTTGCAATCGGAACGGGTCATTTCAACGGAGGAGAAAGGAAATAATTTGAGCAGTGAACGACTTGTCATAGCTGTACTGATAACGATGGCTATTGCCTCCTCCTGTGGCTTCTTTGCTGGCTATCGGTTGTCCAGATGGAGATTAATACAGGATGGTCAGCCTCACTCATCCACTTCTTCCACAGGTTCACAATTTCATTTACTGTTCATCCGTCTTTAACAAAGTTATTTTTCCATTATTAACCCATTCAATTGCTTACTCTTTAATTTGATTTCAATCAAAAGAATTCACTTTTTCGTTTAAGGAAGTTACGATTCGTATGGGCGTGCTCGGCTGACACGTCATGATTCCTTGGCTGGTGCCAAATTGGAGCATGTCTATGGTGCAGGACCTGGAAAGGATACAGTGTCGTTGGTTTCCGGCATACCGCAGAGTGGGCCACTATTTTCGAACTCCGGTATCAACATCAATTCCGGTTTTGCAACACCTAAACTTTCTGCAGAAAAAAATTACATAACATATTTGAATAACAGTACGCTACCACGGGACTATAAAGTTAAAAAAGTTTATTTATAGTATTAAGGAAATTCTTCGGACAGAAAGTCAGTTTAATCTCGCAAAGTGAAAATATTTTATGGCAGTTTTCAAGTTACAGCGTCCCTATGCTACCGTTTAGTACAAAATATTTATATCATTCTCGGTTTTGTCATAGCCATTTAGTAAAAAATTTAATTTTACCGAGACATACGGGTTCTGTTCGAGGGATTTCACTTCGTTTTAATAATGCAAATAGATTTTATCTTAAGATATTGAGAGGAGGAAAGGTGGCTAGAAATCACTTTTCTTTGTTTCACTCCTGAACTTTGTATATTTTTTTACTTCTCAATAATTTTGAAAGAATTGATCTTAAAAAGCAAGTATTCACCGTTCTATCATTTTTCGCTGTTAAAGTGGCATTTCACTCTTAGTATGTTCAATATATATGAAAGATTGCGGAAGGGTAATTGAAAGGTGAAGATGAAGTCGGCTGGAACGGAACAAAGAGCGGTGAAGGGAGGGATATGAAACGTTCCTTGAATTTCATCATTTAATGTCAAGCGAAATTTCGGATTTCTTTAACTTGCACTTCTTCCTTATAAACATACAGGTAAATGATCTCCTCTTGCTCTTTTAATATCTCTCTGCCTTCTCGTCGTGCTTTTGTTTCATTTTTTAATTATCTGAATTTTGCAAACAATATGAGTGAAATCGAGCGATGTTGCCAGTTTTTCCGTTTCTTTCATTGGTTTAACTCCTGGCGGGTGGGAGAAAGAAAGGCTTATAAATCGCTTTACTTCGCTTTATTTGTTTATTTGCAAATGTTTATGTGTTTGTTGTACTGCATTGGACTGTTTTAAATACTGCGTTTCATACCATTTGCAATTTAAAGCATCGATCCTTTCCAGTTCGTTCGGTTCGGCATTTCATCAGCAAATAATAACCAAAAAACGAATAGCTTTCTTTAATATTTGAAATTTAAAATAAAAAGATCTTATTGTTATTTCGGAACGCAGCAAATTTTATGAAATATTTAAAAATTTTTGGAAAATCTCAATTGTTTTATGCTGGTTGTACATATATATATATATATAATGCACACATATTATTCCGATTATAATTTTGTTTTTATATGCATTTTATTTTCACGTTCAATGTTTGATGATTACCGACTGATCTTACGTGAACAAACGAGTGTTTAAATCGAATAAAATCAAAAACCATATTCTATCACCGTCATCTGAGCTTTCATTCCGCTTGCGTGAGTATATATACGTTTGATTGCAGTTGTATCTTTTCAGATATAAAGAGAGATATAAAGCATGCTAATAAAGTGCTATGTGAAATATTAAAATGAAAAAAGGTGGGAAGAATAACGGTATTTGGCTACATGGCCTTTGCTGGGATTTCAATTAAAGAAAAACATTAAAGAGTATTACTTCTTCAATTATGCTATTCAAAGTCTAAAAAAGAAACATCTGTATCTCTCTGAACAAACTTTAAAATGAAATGTGGAATTGAAGTGTCGCTATCGTATTCAGTATACAATTGTTATTAGTATGAAGCTTTCATATAAACATGCATTTAGTCTTGATCAATAAATCGATTGAAATGCAAAACTTAAACTTATTTGAAAGCTATTTTGCAATGATATTGAAGTGATTTTTGACATTTATGCAAATTTCATATAGAGGGACTAAAAAATGATTCCTGCAAAAATTAATGTTTGAATATTTTATAATATTGTAAGCAAAGCACTGCTATAGTTTTCTAGTTATCAGAAGGATTTACTTCTGGTTGGTGACCTTAGAAGTGAGTCATTGCGACATCATCAATCCATCACTTTTGCTTCGTGCTTACACATACTTTCATTTCCGCTTAATTTAGAAAAAATACTTAACTTGCGGTTCCAGAATAACGGGACAAAGACCTGATTGAGTTTCCGAGGAATATCATACTGAAATATTACCATTTCTTCTTTCTCGTTTTGACCACGGAAAGGTGTGGTAGCCATTTACAGATAAGCAACAGAGGTCACTATTTCCGGCTTTTGCACAGTTGAATTTATTATGACCTTTTACGAGTGGATGCTTTAGACAATGAAACTTCGTTAGTTATTGATAAATCGTCATTTTTAGAATGCAATTATTTTCATGAAGTAATCGATGTCTGGTAAAAATTATCAACAAAACAGTTGCGATTTCCAAATATTATAGCGATAAAATTCACTAAAGTGATACTTATCGTAGGTGGCAGCACTGAGTAGTAGTTGCCGCAGCTATTTCCATGTAGAATCTCGAATGATAGGACTAGGAAATTGTTTAATATAATTTTTAATTTATCAAATATTCTCTTTCTTCTTCAATCTTTCAAAAGAAGCATTTTCTAATGAATAGCAACTTCCTTTCTTTCTCAAAATTGATATTCATTCAATTCAACGAACTCAGACGCAAGCAAATTTGATGCTTTCTCTATCGATAAAACAATTTCGGATGTACCAAACATATCCGCCCTAACTTAAATGTTGTAAGAATGTTTGGCACGTCACATCGACTGCGTCATCAAACAACTTAAGGAAGATTTTTTATCAAAAGTTGAAGCACTGCAAACTGTCGATCCCGAGTCGTGGATTACTGTTATCGTGCGCAATCATTTCCGCATTATCGATGTTATATGGCGAAAGGAAGCTGAAACCAACTTCAGAGGAAGCGGTGCTTAGCGGAGTTCACGGTCAGTTTTTCTTTTAGCGATATTTGTAAACAAAATTTGCTTCTGGCCATGGGAAATGAACTATGAAATAAAGATCAAAGTTTCATTTTAAACTTTGCAGGTAGGAATTTAGTGAGAAGTATCACATACTTTCGTCCCCATCTATTCTCATGAAAAATACAATGTGTTGCAAAAGACGAGGTGTGAAGCAATCAGCAAAAATGCGGGTGCGGGACAATTTCCTCCTTCTGTCCAATTTTAGAAATGCATAAAAAACCAATGTGTTATGATAACAAGAAGTCATTTTAAACCAGATATTGGTTATTTCTTTCCTTCAATTCAAACTTCCCTTCAATTTACTGCCATTAATTAATTACTCTGCGCCAAGCATTACTGTAAAGTGTGTTGAGCAGTAGATATACAACTGATTTCATAAGTGTTTCAAATTTCGACATCAGTAAGAGTCAATTTTAGTAAAAGCAATTAGCTCAAATTTGAACGATCAAGTTGAGTATTCATTACTAAATGGGAATTCAAAATATCTCTTCAATTTTAGGCTCTTGGATATATTCAATTTCCTCTTCAATTTCACAAAATTGAATTCCTTTTATCGATTGAAAGCCCAAAAGGTTTTTGTAAAATGAGAACTTTTTCCGTCACAACACTGCCAGTATTTGCAGCACCACCATTATGTAAACGATTCACAGTCACAGTTAGGAAAGCAATTTGTTCTCTGAGACTTATAAGAGGGAAAAAATGAACCAAATGCACTTTCCTAAATGTTCGTATTTGACAATTCGGAGTGTGGGACGCATTTTCTTGCTTAAGCAACAACTGCAAAGCTACAATGTTATGAAGTGACTCACGCAGCGCTGTCGTCTGTTCCTTCATGGCAAATAGCACTTTATTGCTCTCGAAAACGTGTGATATTAAATTATTCACATCAATTGAGATTTGTATCACTGAGAGTGCATTTCGCAATTTGTCAAATTTAATTTCCTTCTGTTGCTATAAATCATTATGAGATTCCTTATCCTTATTCGGTCCTCCTTGTCTGACCTCGGGGTTACCTATTAAACTCATTATCTATGTACGTCATAAAAATGATCCTTATCAGTGCAAAAATGCAATTATGTTATCAAGGTAGCTCTCATTATCTATGTACGTCATAAATGATCCTTCCAATGATCCTTATCAGCTTCAAATAAATGCAAAAATATCTCCAAAAATTTTTGCCGAAATTTTCAAAAAACGCAAAAAAATTTATGCAACTAAAATTACAAGCTGTCAAAAAATAATCGCTTTACTGAAAATCCAAAGTTTTCCGGGGGAAAAAAAGCTCGAAATTTTGAAGGTAATCTTGAACTCAATTTCCTACCACACCTTTTCAAGTATTGATTGAATGGATCGCCGAAATGAGTGGCGACATAAAGTTGCAAACGAGTGTGCACCAAAGAAATCTTCCTCCTCCACACTTCTCCCGCATGCTTTTCCATCAGTCTCTCCCGGTGATTTCCTCAATAGATAAAATTCCACTGAGAGCTACCTTACCAGTCTCGAATGTGATAACATAATTTGCATTTCATAACAGAATCTGTTAAATCAAGGACGGAGAAAGATGCTGAGGAATAAGGCCTTGGGCTGCCAAGAAGTGAGCATAGCGGGTGTCGTCTTCCGCATTCGTCAGATATCGTTCTCCACCCAACTGCAACTCAAGCCGCCTTAAATCCATATAAACTTGCGCTCCACCCAGCCATTCATGCTTCATGCATTCATCGATTGACAAACGTTCTTCGATCTGAAAATTCCCACTGTCGGATGAGATCGCTTCTTCCTATCGCAGAGAATAAAATAGGTTTTAAAGGTTTTTTCAAAGTGACGAGAGCTTAGTAGGTGTTGTACCTTAATTGGACAAAGGTGACACTTTGGTGGGAAGAAGAAGGTCGAATCACCGGACTGTCAGAGCAATGAGAGTAATTTTGAACCGTGAACGCCTTCTATTACCTTTACTTTAAGTAATCTCTGAATCAGATCGATAGCTTCTCGTGAGATTTGTTGCCACGGCTCTGTCGGAAACATAAAGGCAGCGTTTTGTATTTGCTCAGCAATTTCTTCGCCATCATTAAACGGAAACGTACCGCTTAACGTTACATAAATTATCACACCGACAGACCACATATCGAGTGACTTATTGTACCCTACAAGTTAATGTTAGATCAGTCGGGAGAAGGAATTGTTAGTAAGCGAGTGGAAGCAAAAACTGTGGACATCAAGCAGCCAATGAACAAGTAATTGAATAAATGAAGAATTAAAGGAAACTCCTTCTTCCAAAGTTAACCTCGCTTTTGGAGTACTTCTGGGGCTAAATAAGCCGGAGTACCAACAATCGTTTTCCTGAAACGATCATAGTTGAACAGTTTCTTTTCATAGTTCTTTAAAGAGTACGACTTGGCTCCCTTGTCATTGGCTCTTAATCTTCTACCACTTAAAATTTTACCTGTTTTACAAATGAAATTTCAGATGAAATACAGAACTACCTGAATTGAGCATCACCGATAAATCGAGCATAGCCAAAATCGCATAGTTTTGTTTGAGGGAAAGCATTGACGAGATCAGATAATAGAACGTTTTCGGGTTTGAGATCGCAATGTGCGATTCCTTTCGAGTGTAAATATCGTAAGGCGCACAAAATTTGCATAATCAAAAATTTGGTAACTCGTTCATCCAGACGGCCTGCAGCCTGAAAAGAAAAGAGAAGACTGTAAAATGTGAGTGGTGATATACGACAGTATCTTCGAGCTTTTCTCCAACTCAACAGATTGCTTGATATCACGTAATATTCAAATGTGAATACTTTTTATGATTTCTGCTTACAAACTTCTCTCTCAAGCATAGATCCTCTCTTTCGAACATCAGTTCTAGTTTGATGATGCCGCGCGGCTAATCCATTGCAGGACTGCTAATTTATGATTTAATCGAATTCGTTAAACTTCTCTCCAGCAGTTATGCAGATTATATGCTTCCAGACACACCTGACTTAAAATCATTTCCAACATGTCACCATTCATCTTCTCCATCACCACAAAAATTTTATCTTTTGTTTCGAACATCGATTCGAGTTTGATGATGCCACAATGGCTAATCGATTGCAGGATTGCTACTTCACTTCGCAATGTTTCCACCCCGGCTGATGACTTTTTTGAAAATCGATCCTTTGCTATCACCTGAATGTATTTGTCTGTTCTTTCATAATGCCTTCATCCTCCACATTTCATTAACTTATTAAAAACCCGCCTAACATTTACATTTTTAATTCTCTGCAAAGGCCCATCTATCTAGCTTACTTCTTTTATCTCCTTCCATATTACTGAGCAGTTGAGTTATTTACAATGGTTTAATACTACCTTTTGTTTACTGTCACTAATAAGTCGTGGAGTGGAGAAAAAAGCGGGACATGAATTTAAGTCAAAGAAAGAGAAGTTACTTTTACAGCAACTTCACGTCCACTTTGACGATGAACGCCAGCATAAACTGTACCAAACTGTCCGGATCCAAGCGTTTTATCACCCAAAATCTGATAAAAAAGTCTTTCATTTCTAATTCAGGTACAAAGAAACTAAAAATTCAGAAAAAATGAGTTGAAAAGCGCATAAAGTCAGTAATTAGTTAGCAAGATCAGAATTTGATAAAATCAACCTGATATAACTCAGTGAATTGAAGCGCGGGTTCTGTATTCGACGTATCATTTCTGGATGGTGGTGGTCGTAATGCCTGTTGCAAAGCCTATAAAAATGTGACCAGCATTCAGGTCAAAGACATCTGTATCACCTTTCCCCATATTCTTGGAACATCATTATCATCTTCTAATCCATCTTGAAGGACCGAATGTGTGTCTTTCGAGTTCTTTTTTGAAAATTCTTGAAAATTGGTAAAAAAATTTGATGAAAAAATATATAATCAGATAAGAGGTCACCTGAAACCACATTTGTGCATTAGAATTACTTTTGAAATTTGCGTGACGCGGCACTTTCGAGGGAGGCGCACCATACACGTCTAAATTTTCACCCACGCAGTACACCATATGTGATGTGGTGCGGATTTCAAAACAGTGAGCGGGGAAGCTACAAATTTGATTTAGCTGGAAAATTTTGGCAGATTTGCAACATGAACCATATGAGTCACAGAGGTGTAACGTGTTGAATTTGGATCGAATTAAGAAACAAAATTTTTAAAATTAATACAAATAAAGCAATTTGAATTTTTACAATGGAATCGAAATGGAAGAAGAAGTAAGCAAAAATCACAATTCGCAACATGAAGAATAGCTCAATAGCAAACCTCGAATGTACAGGCGGTCCGTTATAGGGCGTTAGAACCGTTATACTACCAAGTGGAATTGTCCGATAAATGCGATGTGGGTTTACACCTGGTTTAATGAAATTTTTAAACTTCCAACTGATTGCAAATAGAAATTGAAATACGTGAGATTTTAATTTAATATAGTGTTAGAATGGATTTAATCAGAATGTCAACCAATCACGGATTTTACTACCTTCATTATATTCATTATACATATTAATAGCACCGCCGGCAAGGATCCAGTAGTGCCTAAGACGTCGTTCCGGTTGATCAAGCATGAAATGGATCATCCATCCTTCGACTGTTGGTTGTCGACTAGTGATTCTCGTTGATGCTTGGCCTTTAAATTCAAAATTGACGCATTTACACTTTTAAGCACCGATGCACTGATGGAATAAAGGTGGGAAACCTGGCAACCGAGCAAGCGGTATCATCGAATCGTTTTCTTCTTGTGTTCCGACTTCGTCGTATGCTGTCGAGAACAGCGATGTGTCATCATCAACACTCAGATGGTCAAATGAGGGCGTTATTGCGCCATCTGATATCTGGCAATTCATCGGTAACAATGAAGCGCATTTCCTGTGCACATTAACCTAGAAAGGTCCAAGAAACCTGAATGCAGAACTTTCCACAAAATATGTAAATTTTGGAAAAAGAAGTCTTTTCACTATAATAAAATCCGACGGTCGGCAAATGAATGATGGCCAGTCAGGAGCAAATTTTGATTCAAACTTTATGTTGTTTTCTGTTAAACCTTGCAATCACGGCAGCGCAATCCTTGTTTCATCAGGCCAATTAACATTTTATCACACACTTTACAAATGGTCAGTGTCTTGTAATTATGTACAGCCAATGTATGCGGCAATGCAAATGAGGCATCTTGTTGGCATCGAAGATCATCTGCAGGTAATTGCAATTAATTACAAATTGTCTCCGGAGCACTCATCCCTCCCTATGTGTTGCTCAAATCAAACCAATCTACAACCTCACTGTCCTCTTTTTTGAGCAGCAGTAAATAATTTTTAAAATTGAGCAGCAAACAATATACATATATACCTGTGGATGTCGTACTTGGCAGAATTGCTTTGGCACAATTATTCCTTGGCGCAAATGCACATTTCTTATGAAAATTACATCTACAAATGTTGGACTTTGTTTTTCCAATAAATAATATATATTTTCCAAATATTGAAATTATCAATGAATGTTGGCACTACTCGAAAAACAAAGTTCTTATCATGAAAACGAAAAACATGTTGGATACCGGCATTTGGCACACTGCAAACCCTGCTTGATTAAGCCAACCAGGATTTCACCGCAATAATCGCAAAATGTTGGAGTCATGTATGACGTAACAGCAAGCACATGAGGACGTGTCGGTCGTTCATTGCGATCTATCAGAATTATTTCCACGTTGCAACCATTATCCTGAAATGACTTCTGAAGCATAGCTTCAAAAGCTCGAAGGGAGTGACAGTGGAGAGAAGTAAGTTGTAAACAATTATTTTCAGAAATTTGATACTTGAGAAGGATAATGTATACCAGCTGTGTAACAGAAGCCAAGTGCTGGAGCATGTTTGGCGAGTTATAATCATGTCTGAACAAATGTATCTCACAGCCGTTCGCTAATTTACCATCACAATGCTTTTCAACCATTTGTCTAGCGCGCTCACACAGTGATTCAAATTGCTGAAGTGAAAATCAAATTTTGTTATTAGACTTCAAAACTTTATTGCTACAATTTTGCTGCTACAGTGGTGAAGAACCACAAAATCCAGGATGAAAGTGCCAAAATTAAGATGGAATGAAGGAAGGAAACACTTCTGACTCTAAAGATCATGCCTAGAAGAGGCCTCAATATGAACGCCTTTCTCAACAAAAAACTACATCTCCGAAGTTGTTCATCATGACGAATTCTCGGATATCCCGGAACATCGTTATCATGATGCTCACTTCCTCGATAATTTCCTGCTGATTCCTTCCGGTTAATGTGCATGATGATTTAATCATTTGCCCAGTTATTGATGGGTCTAATAAAATGACAGTTAATCACCTGTGGATTATCAGATCGCTCGAGAACTAACACTTCCTTCAGTGAACCATATTGAAGAGTTATCGATATCCTCCGATCCTCCCAAGTGTCCATCGCCGTTACGTCACCATTATTGTTACCATTGGTACCGGAATTACTGATGTTGGAGTTATTCATTAGCAGCATAAAGAATTCTTTGTCAGTTCAGGAGGAATTTACCATTCTGAAATCGCAATGGAAGTGAGAAAAAGCGAAGGCGAGACAAAACTTATGGTCACTTGCTGGGTCAACACCGAATACTTCTTCCCCGTCAATTCAAAACTGTTCAGTCATGTATGGATTTCAAATTGGAGTGAATGGTGCAGGAGAGGAGAGTGGCAGAGGATTGAAGAGATGAGTTGTACGGCGATCGAAGAGAGGTACCTTGCGGGTGGTTCGAAGACTACAGCTGGCAAACAATTCAGTAATAGGTCCATCTCGAAGACGAACTGGTTCTCCTCACCATTCTACCACCATTTGGTAGCATTCCAACATGCCGAACTGTAATGTTCTCATCGATTAGACGCCCTTGTTTGTTGCTGTTGTTGTTGTTGTTGTTGTTTGTTTTCTTGTTGTTGTTTTCATTACTGGAATTGTTAACAGGTTGTGATGGGGTGCGATGATGAATTAC